AGTAGTAGATTAGTTTTCGGTTTTAGTGAATATTTATATAAAAATACAAGTTGAAACGCGTTACTTCCTTGTGGAATGTGATGTTAGTATCTATTTTATGTTTGTCTGACGTATTTTTACACTCATTTACCGCACATTTCGTCATTTTTAGCTAAAATTCTTGAGCTGTTCGCAGTGCAAGTTGACCTTGAGCACTGAAGGCCAGCCCGCTCGTGTAGGCCCATTGGGAGCGCTTCAATTTGCCTCACTTGGCGTGTGCGGGCTAGGTTTCTATGCGTTATTATTCTAAGCCTATGTGCCTGTAATTTCAAAGCACCCTCACCGTTGAAAACAGCAACGCAATAATGCTTACATTACTGCTTGGCGGCAGAAATAGGTAAGATAGCAGTACATCCCGGGACGAACTTTCACAAGCAGCTCTACAATTTGGGAAATGAATTTTTTCAAATTGACCCTGAATAAATTACGTCGCTATCGTACCCATAGTACAGGGAATCCCTTATTTTGAGACCAGGTAATTGGTGTGGTGGGGTGTACAAAAAGAGCACGAACGACTTACCATTACTTTCATCAACGTTTGGCACACTGTAGGCAACAATCAGCGTGTACCATACGTCTATTGACCAATCCTTTCACCACAACGGCAAGCATTAACGCATACACACCTCCATGAACACACACATAGATAACCACAAATTACACCCCAAACTCACGAGAGAAATAAATACAGCCCATACAAATATTTCGAGCCTGGGACCTCTGCGTGGCAGTCCGGCATGGTAAAATGAAAATGATAGAACTTCGGCTATTTATCGTAAAAGCGTAACAGTCGATAGAATATTTAGTTATTATATTGTTCAGATAAATTGTAATGTATGCCATCGGTACGATAAAAAGATTGGTGTATAGTGAAGTAAATCACTAATCGATATCTTGAAACTATATTAGTTTGTGCTAACAAGCCTCACCCTCGCAAGAGAGGTATTTTAATTTTTTTTAATTTAAATCTGGCTTCTATTCACCCGTATGACGAAAACGTCATTAACAAGTTACAATATGCCCGGCGGCGACCGACGGCGGGGCCGGCGCGCCATGGCTACCCCACCTCTGGTCTATGGCATATGATTGATGTGTAGCCGATTGCAACCAAACACAGCTTTTACCCAGAAGGGATTTCATATGTACGACTACACGTATAATTTACACAGGCTTAGTTGTAAAATACTAACAGCCTCACACGACTAATAAGTCTACTTACCATAGTCTGCCTTTTTTGAAGAGACTAAAATGACGTTGTAGCGTTGCCAGTGTTCATACAATTTTAAATAGTCATGAATTTGTTATCGACAGTTTTTCGATAGATTGTGATAGTAGGTAAAATTTTGCCAAAAATATCTAAATTGTGAATGCTACGACAGATGTTCTAATGGGTTACCTGTCACAAGCTAGAAACATGATTTACAGAATTTTGTTTCTCCGAAAACCTTTTTTGGAACCTGATTTTGTTTCATTTGTCCGAAAACACGTTACGGTTTTTTTCATTACACCATTTAATGTTTCACTATTTTGACATATTGACAAGTTATTCTTTTCCCGATTTTTATTTCCCCAATAAACCGTTTGACCAATGTAAATCCAAATTGCGTTATAATAATAATTTCTCTCCAAAATTTTGCTATATTTGTATGTCATCCGTATATGATTTAATGTCAAAGTGTTAGGTCAACACTATTGAATTTTGAAATTAAATATGTAATATTAATGTAACTTAAAGCAATTTAGAAATAATATTATGTTAGTTGTCACGTGCGATATCCATGATACATTTTTGTTATATTATTTCTTATTACAGATATTAAAAGTATAAGAACGTGTTGCACAATACAACTCGACAAATTAAAGCACCTCGCATCTTTAGAAAATTTGGTAAACGAGATGTAAGTTAATTTGATCTGAAAAGGAACTTTCATTTTACTCCATCTTCAAAAAATACTATAACATCTTGAACAACAACTTAGGTTTCATGACTTTGAATAATTTATCAGATTTTGTTTTCTTACAAATCAAACGCTCTAAATGGTAAAACTCTATGCGGTAGGTAGCTAAAGGAAGCGCTAGCGTAAATACCATAGATATAGAAAAAAAGGGGAGATTTGGTATGGGAGCGTGGTTCGTGTCGCCTCGATATGATCAAAATAATCATATCGAGGTGACACGCCTACAAACATCGTCACAGTGACATGGCGATCGTTGTACATATAAGAACTCTCGTAAAACGTGAAAATGCCAAGTTGTAACGATACACCTTGTAAAAATTAGAGTGAAAACAAACATTTTAAAACCATTCCACAGGCTTTTTGCATTTTTAGTTACTATTTCTACTATTATTCAATGTTTTCTTTTTGTCTCCGTGGAAATTTGTATACTCGAGTATAGTATAGTGAATTTCATTTATGATGACTGATGTTTATCGATAATAAATTTTTACTGAAATGTTTGAATTTCTTATTATGACATTTGTAATTAAAGTCCCTAAAATATCGAGGCGAAAAGCATTCATGTTAAATTGATTTCTTTTATTTTATTATTATTAATATTACTAAACATTTTATTTTGTGTAACTTTAACACAAGTCATATTTCGGACAACCGTTTCAATTTCATGTCAATTATATATTAATATTGTTTTAGATAATTTAGATATTTAAATTCCATTATACTCGTGTATTAGACTAAGAATATTTTTAGTATTTAAGTTTATCCAATGAGTTCAAAATAAAAGAAGGTTGGATTGAAGTTGCAGGAAAATCGAAAGATTGGTTTTCTTATTACTATTTCTGACTTTGTTTAAATTTCCATAGGAAATGCATTTAAAAAGAAATAAAATAACATCGGGTTCATTTTACATGTACACGCAAAATAAATTAGAAGCAATTATAGAAAATGACAAAAATCCTTCATAAAAAAAAACATAATTTAATTAATAATACAAAGACCGAACACTCAGAAAAAATTCTTTCGATCCGGCCGGATTCGAACCGACGTTTTCTAGCATACCGTGCCCAACGCTATACCAACCAAGACACGGAACGAACCAGCGGACCTCACGAATTTTTCTATGTACTTGTTGTCGTGTCTTGTTGTCGTGTAAATAGTTAAGAGGAAGGCACTACGTTCTTGTGTTCATTGTCTTATTCACACTAGCACTAATATTTAATAACTTTGAAATAACTACACTTACTCAAAAGGTTCAGTTCTTTGTAGTCTACGCACTATATTTGTATTGTCTAGTAGCAGTATAGCCTGTACGTTCACGTGATGATGAGGTCTATGTTCGTGAGCTTCGGCGTACTTTTTTATACTCCATCTCTAAATCGTGATTCAGATCCTCATTTCGTATATACCTACCAAGGAGCACCCACTATCGGCCTCAGATTTTATTTTCGAACCGTTATGACTATTTGGCGGCAGAAATAGGTAAGGTGGCAGTACTTCACTAGACTAACTCTATCACAAGGGTCTCTACTGCTACTACCTGCGAAATTGTACAAATAACCCTGTATTTACTGATTGAGTTGCAGTGTCGGAAAATATTTTCAATCGATTCACTTTTTATAGACGAATAAACATTTTGGTACAAAATAATGCGAGAGATCGTGCGCGGTGATTCAAAATAATTGGATTAGTCGCATTCCGGTGAAAATTAACTATTTATTGCTATGTCGGTAAAATTCGTCAACGTGATGTGTACGCTCGGCGTGTGCTGGCCAACAGGAAACTTCGTTATCTCGACATTTCCGAACATCCTGTATGTCAGTGAGCTGTTCTTAACTAGATTTTGTCTCGTAGATCAATAATCACTATCCGTAGGTGATTGGGCGTTATAATTATTTAGGTCATAATATTAACAGGTTTGTATTTACGTACTATACTCCGCCGAACCATTTATTTTACTTTTGACATATGCATGCCTCCGAAGTTCTGTAATTATTGACATACAACCGTAGACACAAAAATGCTCTATACTTTTCTTTTTTAATTTTAGTGAAGCGACGTGCTCTAGCTCCGATATTTATCGAGCCAACAGATTATGTAACGAAGATTATTCAAATTGATAAATTTTGGTACCTGTCGGCCGGCTGACTAAAAAATTTATAAATTATAAATAATTATAACAAATTCTTATTGTTTATCATGATGAATCATCGGATTCTTCTCCATATGAACGGGAATCATCACTTGAATCCTCATTAACATTAATTATTAATTCTTGAGTACACAAATTGTCAAACGCAACATCACGATCCCAATCAGACAATATCTTCTCTTTTTGAACCCACTCTGATTCACGATTAAAATCTCTTCGTGATTACTTCGATGTTTGTGAACCGATTTTGATGATTGACGATGAAGAGTGATCTCATTTAGTAGCAGTAGAGCTCTACTCGTCGGAGGAAGTACTACCACGGTACCTATTTCTGCCGTCAAGCAGTCATATTAGCATTACTGCATTCCGGTTTTGAAGGGTAAGTTGTGCTGGTCAAATAACAGGCACATGGGACTTTTCAACTTGTCTGAAGGTGATAGGCGCAGTGGCAGTGCCCTTCAGATCTCTGCGATTTAAAGCTCTGAGTGGCACTGCAACACGACTTGTTCGTCCCATCAATTTGTAATATAAACAAAAACAAAATTCAAATTTTAAGAAAATATTGCACCTCAAAGGGTGGCAAATTAGTGGATGAAAGCGGTTCATTAAAACAACCGGTAGTTTTGTGTATGCATTTTACAAAGAGTACGTTTAGTCCTGTATTCACATCCGTATAATCGATACATTATTAAATAAAGAGTTAGTCTTTGTACGGCAATCATTTATTTCACTTGCCACGGCCTTACACCGGTTTGGTAAACCGATTACAATAGAACTTGGCAAATAGATGTAACGAACACAGCTAAAGGTGCGTACAGATTTGCTCGACATTGTCCGATCGTTAATGTCGATCGACAATGTCGATCGGGTGCCTACGAACTTACTCGACATTGTCGATCAACGTTAACGATCGACAATTTCGAGCAAATCTGTCAAAAGGCACCTTAAAGAGGATAAGCGATTCTTCGTGGTAACTGCTTATTGAACGAAATAAAAACAATGAATAAAATGTCGATTAGTTTTCACAATTGCTACATATTGAAAATAAAAAAAAATCGGATGCATTTGTTTTTTCAAAGAAACCAATGTTTCGCAGGGTCTTTTCAGTCCCATTGCCTTTGTTAAGAGAATACTGTTTCAGTTGAGGTTTTGGTTTGAAATTCCTTTATCCAATGACTTTAGGGTCTCTGGCAATGAGCTCGTTGAAGAATCCCATGTTGCGCATCTTGTAGTGGTATTTGCCCTTCTTTTTAAGACGGCCCATATGCTGGAGAGTGCGCACCAGCGGCAAGAACCGATACAGTGTGTTTAACGTGTCACCGAGGCAGATCATGAATGATGACTCGATGTAGGCTGCAATGAACAAATGATGTCAGAGGTAAACTTACAGGAGACAGGACAGGAGTTTCTAACGTTTTTTCTATGTACAAGTATTATTAATCATAACTACTGCGGCGAAAAATACTGCAGCTAAAAATAAATGTCAATTATAATTTTTAACACAAAGATGGAACACTCAGAAAAATTTCTTCGACCCGGCCAGATTCGAACCGACGTCTCCTAGCGTACCGTGTCAGTCGCTATACCAACTAAGCCATGGAACGAACCAGCGGACCTCACAATTTTTTCTATGTGCTTGCATAGTATTTTTGTATTTGGTTTTTCAACGATTTTTTAGCCGTAGCGCTATCTACAAGAAATCTATGATATTTCGACACCTTTACAGCTACCAGTCTCGGCTAGAGATGTCGCTAATCATTGTATTTAAATTGTTATTGAATTGATATTCAATAATTTTTACGTGAAATTACTCCACTAGTTATAATTATTAATACAAAGATCGAACATTTAGAAAAAATTCCTTACCATACCGTGCCAGACTAAAAAATGTTTAGCCGTAAAAAAATCTAATGTCCGATTTCTCGGGTCGCCAACCGTACTATATTGTAGATAGGATAAGTTATTTTAAAGACATTAATTTTATTTTTAAAAGTACGACATAAGAAATAAATACTAGACAACATAACATACGTTGCTATGATCCCAAAGTACGTAACCACAGTACATACTTGCGTTATGGAAATTGGAAACATTAACGATACCACAAACACGTAGACCCGAGACAATATACAAAAGTTTTTTTTGTGATACCAAATGACGGGACGAACAAGTCGTGCGCCTGATGGTAAGCGACACACGTCCCTAACAGTTGCAGTGCCACTCAGAGGTTTATAACACAAAGATAAGAAAAGAAAGAGGGGCAATCCCACTGCGTCCTTCACCCTGAGACATAAGTTGATAAGTCACATGTGCCTGTAATTTCACCGGCACCCTTACCCTTCAAAACCGAAACGCAGTAATGCTCATATTACTGTCAGTACTTCCCTGAATGATATATTTCACAAGAAGCTCTACTGCTGCTTAAACGTCTCTACGTTTCTGTCCTGCGTTTAGTGGGATCCACTGCAACTTTAATTCGACCCCGAGTTCAGATGTTACAAACCCCTCCATGGTGGTCTTTGCCCAGACCTCACTTGAGCCAAGCTCTGCAAACTTCTGACGATTTGTCAAAGACCAAGTTTGAGCACCGTACTATACAAAAATGTATTTATGTATAAAATTTCGTCTCTCTGAATCGTAGACGGACTTGGTTGTCTGACAGTTTAAGGAAATTCACATTTTTGAGTGGTGTCTTAAGATTTTTTGGAGTTTTTTTATATTAGGAAGCACATTAATATTTTCTGAAAAATACTGATAAACACCTACACAAGGTACAAAAATAAACTGGCTATTCTGAGCAGTCGTCTCCTCAAAATCACAAATACATTTAAGGATTCATTTTTCATTTCATTAATAATAGAATCATTGTTGGCATTCTAAATTCTAAACTGTCGTGAATTATATAGCTTCTGTGTACTTGGGTGACAAGAATTCATGGTAGCATTCAGGATTTTTGCGTACCATATTTTTGTGAATTATATATGTAAATAAAACTCATTTATTGCTTGTTCTTTGCAGCTTCGCGATTATGAAGCAGTGTTTTATCAATTTGACGATCTATAGTGTAATATGGAATAAGATTATTAAAATTTGAAATTGAGTGTACAGAGTCTATACTCTGTTCAACAAGTTTTTATAATCTGTCTATATAGATTATAAAAACTTGAATTGATTCATAGCAGTAGAACTCCTTGTGAAAGAGTTCGTCCAGGGAAGTATTGCCACCTTACCAATTTCTGCCGCCAAGCAGTAATGTCAGCATTACTGTGTTCCTGTTTTGTTTTTCTATTATAAGGGTGCTGGTAAAATTACTGGCACATGGGTCTTGTCAACTTATTTCTCAGGGTGACAGGTGCAGTGTCCCTCAGATCTTTGTGATTTAAAGCTCTGAGTGGCACTGCAACTGTTATGGACAGGCATGTAGCTTACCATCAGGCGCACGACTTGTTCGTCCCGTCCCTTGATATCATAAAAAATAGTTGGAATGAAACGTTACGTACGTTACGACCATGTTAACAGTACATAAGACGCACTGTATGTTTCCGGAACTGGCCACTTACATAAACAATATTTAAAAAGTAATTACAACATTTGAAAATGGAACTCTTCGGCTATAGAATACAGTTTGTTTCATCTGACTGTCACTTGTTTTTACATTGCGCGTAATTTTAGAAATTGGGTGTCTACATAACCACGGATTTAACTCGTGAAAATTTTGGTAGTAAGATTTTCTATGACTTTAAGTGTAATTTAATATCTCAGCGGAGCTTCGCTCGACTTAAAACTGCTTTTGGCGATGAAGATAGTGCTTCATCTATTGCAGACAACTATTTATAGCTGATTTGCAGAACTCAAACGCGGTCGTGTGAATCTCAGTGATGAATTTCGTGATGGTCTCCCGTCCACTGTAGTGAACAACAAAAACATCGATGCTGTGCGCCGTATGATCAAAACAGACAGGCATGTGACATACCATGAGAGTCGGGCATCTTTAGGCATAGGCATGACTCAAATACAATCAATACTACACAAACATTTTGGTGTGAAAAAGCTGTGCTTTCGGTGAATCCCACACAATTAGACTGAGGCTCAAAAAACGGATCGCGTCACTTGGTGCAATGCCATGCTTACCAGATTCAACGAAGTGGCGTCAAATTTGGTGTGGGACGTAATAACAGGTGACGAAACATGGATTTATAGTTACGATCTCAAAACAAAGCAGCAATCGAGCGTATGGGTCTTTCATGATGAGCCGAAATCAACCAAAGTGGCGCGCGAGCAAAGTGTCTCTAAGCGGATGATTGCTTCTTTTTTTAATAAAACTGGATATGAGGCTACTGTTGCTTTGGAGAATCGTTATACCGTGAATAGTGATTGGTACACGACCATTTGTTTGCCGGAAGTTATTGCCAAACTCCGTAAAAATAACCGTAAACGCCGTATCATCTTGCACCACGATAATGCCAGTTCTCACACGGCCAGACAAACAAATGAATTTTTGAAGGTGAACAACATTGACCTTATGAGCCATCCCGCGTACAGTCCCGACCTGGTACCTAGTGACTTTTAATTATTTCCAAAAATTAAGAATCAGTTACGCGGTCAACGATTTTCATCACCTGAAGAGGCCGTCGAAGAGTATGAAAAATATGTTTCAGAGATTGTCACGGAGGAGTGAAATAAATGTTTTCAAAATTGGTTCATTCGTATGAAAAAGTGCATTAACGCTAACGGAGAATATTTTGAGAAACAATCAATTCGTTTCTGACCATTTATAGTATTTTTTTCTTATTCATCCACTTATAGTGCGCCACACGTATAAACAAAGATACGTTCTAATTTTGTTTAGCGATATAAACAGACGAATAACGCAAAATATACAGTACAATATTACAAATATTGAAGTGTCTAATCCTCCGATATAAGTGCACCGTGGGAGGTTGTATCTTGCTATGGACAGGTGAGGGGGGCTGACGACGGGCCCAGCGACAACCTAACCGGAGAGTGAACGACACCTGTCTTTGTTTAGCGAGTTTTCTATCAAAACCTTCGTGACGACTTAAAAGCGTCTAAGATTTTTCTTCGTGGAAAAATTTTTCGAAGTGGGCGGGCTGAGACTAATTAATCCGATTTATTTCTTGTTTTTCACAGATTTATATGTCAGTGAATTAGCAGAATTTTATATTTGTAAGCCGATTAATTTGAGTACAAAAACTCTTTTACAATTTCTTTTTTAAATTTAATTTGTTAATGTTGAGAGCGTATTATCGGTGATACAGGGGCTGTTACAGTATTAAGCCCGAGGCTATCGTAGGTGGTCAGTGTCCGAAAACACAATGGATGCAATCCGACAGCAGTTAGGTGGAATCCTTCAAAAGAGCGGATGCAAATAGCGTAGGGAGGCTGGGGGACGGCGCGCCCTCGCTCTCGTAATTAAATCTGCCTGCCGAACTTTGCTCTCGCCGACATCAGATAATGGTTGATGCTAACAACATTGGGCTAGACTACTCTGAATCAATTAGGTAGGCTCTAATTTTAACTTTTGATACTTGTAACCAATAACGTTTTCGAAGAAATGTTTGTTCAACTGAGCTTTGCATGTTTTGCTTCTTGCGATCGCTAATGAGTCGGAATCCTATTTACTCGAAGCTTTATTCAAGTAGAGTTAAGGAAAATGATAAGAGGTCTTACGCAGACGAGCACGCGCCGCGTGGGGCGGTAATCTTGTCTGATTGGGCTCCGTCAGAAATATCTCATAATTGCCTTCAATAAGGTCTTACAACATTTTTTAGCTGGTAGAGTATCGCGATTTTGTTGCGTGTAGAGCATGTTTACGACGTATTTCATCCGCCGCCAAGGCCGAATGGTACCATGCTGGTCTGTCACGCAGAGGTCCCGGGTTCGATTCCCGGGCCGGGCGAAATATTCATATGGCCTTCATTTATTTATCTCAAGAGTTTGGGTGTAATTTGTGGTTGTCTATGTGTGTGTGTCCATGGTATCCGCGACTCAGGGCTTCCCTAGTGCGAGGCTTTTAAAAAAAATGGTCTATGGAGTTCGTAATGTTTAATTCCTTTGCACCACCTTTGGCGTAAGGCCATATCTGCAAAATGAAGCTTAAAGGTTCTATGAAGTAAATTAGTCGATAACTTTTTACGCTTATAGGAGTTATAAAATTTCATATATACATCAATTTTGTTTTGGTAGCAGTAGAGCTTCTTGTGAAACAGTTCGACCAGGGAAGTAACGCCACGTTACCTATTTCTGCCGCCAAGCAGTAATGTCAGCATTACCGGTTTTGAAGAGTAGGTTAGGTGAAATTACAGGCATATGTGACTTACGAGTAGGTATTTTTCACACCCACCTAGTTTCCCGACGTTTTGGCCAGGTGAAACAAAACATGAAAAGAAACCATTGACTTATATGGACGTCGGGTCCGCGCTAAAACGTGTCCGAACTTATAGGGCGTTAAAATCGTATACAGAGCGCCATTCACGCTTTAGTCTTCGTTTGTTCGACTGACAGCGAAGCAAGCAAAATTAGACAGTACTGCGATGACATTACAATTTAAATTCAACGTTTTAGCTTTTTCATGTTCCTTTACATGTCACTACGTTTAAATAGGTTGACTTGGGACATTTTTTCGTGGTTTTTGTATTAGACCCGTCGTCCATTTATTTGTAAGTCAATGAAAGAAACAGTTTTTTTTTCTGGAGTACGTTTTTTTTCTAAAAGTATAAAAATAAAAGTAGGTATGACAATATGACAATTGTATTTTTTTTACTACATTTCCTCTTTCGTTGTTAATATTATTCTTCATATATAGATAAATTGCTCAAAATTGATGGGCAACACTCATAGTGTTGTCAGTTTGTGGCAAATTCCCCAAATTGGGGGAATTTCAACTCGATTGGGCATTTTGTGGGATTGACGCTATGTGGGCAAAATGCGGGGATTCTGACTTCAGATTTACCTTTTTTTTAAATCTATCGATTGCTGTTGCATCGCTACTTTGATGATGATAATGATAAAACATTAGTTATCTAAGAGCGATATCAATATTTTTTCCACATCGCACACATACCTTATATAGCAACATTTACATGGAATTATTAGCAAGCCGCTTACTACTACCGCACATTTCGTCATTTTTAGCTAAAATTCTGGAGCTGTTCGCGTTGCAAGTTGACCTTGAGCACTGAAGGCCCGCCCGCTCGTGTAGGCCCTTTTGGCGCGCTTCAATTTGCCTCACTTAGTGTGTACGGACTAGGTTTCTATGCGTTATTATTCTAAGGCCGCTTATATAAAATTATTCGGTAGGAATTGAATGAAGGAAACGAAGACAGAAAATTTCGATGACGTTACAAGTGTGGGTAACACCTGTAACAGTTATTTATTTTTTTTTATAATTATCATGGTTTTCAAATTTAATTTTTCAAAACATGTTGTATATGTATCTTCACATATTCTTAAAACAAAAGTTAGTGTCTTTTTTATTTCAGATATACCGTTTGACTTTTTCAGAAAAAAACCAGGGCGCTGTGTTTTTTTTTCATGTTTTTTTCAAAAATATGGAAAAAAAAAAATTTTTTTTTTCAAGTTACAACAGTAAGCTTACCATCAGGAGCAGGACTTGTTGGTCCCGTCACTTGATATTATTAAAGAAACAGAGACGTTCGTAAGATTTGCTGGGTCGGTCTGTAGGTCAGTTGGTTCAGACCGATAGCCCCGGCATGGCAACAGACACAGCGATCAACTCCCGCTCTTCGTCCGACGTTGGTCTCAACCAATTACTGTCAAATGAGTTTTACTTGGCTAACCTTGCCATTGTCTTTAATTATGGTCCAGAGAGCTCGAAGGAATTTGTATTCGGTCTTTCTATTAATAATAATATACGTTATACTTACTTATACGTGACGGTATACTAACTTACTTATTTATTATATAATTAACAAATTATTAATACCAACTGTCTCCATGGCCGAACGGTTACCGTGCCGGACTGCCACCCGGAGGTCCCAGGTTCGATTCCCGGGCAGGGAGAAATATTTGTATGGCCCACATTTATTTCTCTCTTGAGTTTGGGTGTAATTTGTGGTTGTTTATGTGTGTGTCCATGGCACCTGCGACACAGGGTTTCCCTAGTGCGGGGCTATGTTGAGTATGTGCGTTTTTTTAAAAATACAAAAATATAACGAGGCTTTTAACCTGAGCTTTCTGAGGTGGAACTCTTGTCATCCCAGCGCATCTTGCATTGCGCGGCGTCCATGAAACAGTGGTTCTTGAACATGACACTAGGTTCGCGCGCGACCTGGCCCGGCACGGCGCACACCGGCGCGTATGTCTCTGGACATTCCTATAAAAGATACAAATTAAACAGTGGTTCAAGTTGTCCGTGACCTTGACATTGGGTTCACGTGAGAACAGGGCCAGTGCGTGACACTAAGGCGCTTGTTTGAGTGTGGCGGGCACTTCTGTGTTAAAAGTCAAAGCCGTCTATTATATTAAAAAAGAAGTGTTGTTCCGTTTACGACCCTTTTTTATCACTATGTGTTTTAAAAAAATGCCTCTTTAAATTTTTGTTGTAATTGAGAAGAATAAAGATCACGACAAATAAGCGGCCTCATCTATTTTATTAATAATTTGTGATTAGAGCAGGTATTGCGTTGTTATATTTTGTAAGTACATGTTGTTAAGAAATACTGTTTATTGTTTATTTGTTTAATGCTCGTGTTTCATTTATCTGAAGCTACAGATGGAAACCTGTAATTGGCTTTATGTTTATTTTCCTGTTTTTATTAAATGTAAGAAGCTGTTGTTTTTCCGTTAATAAATAACTAAATTTTTTGGATAAAATTTTGTACAGATGAACCGGGACCCCACGGACCAAGGATTTCGACTAATTGTTTCATGTAGTTTGTATTATGTTTACGACTTTCATGAAGCATGTTTGACGTGTGATCACATGTTGCATTATTACCTTTACTATCAAGGTTATGAATTACGTAAGCAACATTTCAATTCCATTCAATTCTTTATTGCATTTACCATAATGTTACATAGATGGAAAAGGTTTATAACTAAGGTAACAGTGCTTTAAAGTTTATTTTTCTAATGTTTCATAACTTCATATAAAGCATAATCTTAAATGTGACTGATCAAATCAGAAAATAGAACCATATAGCATTTATTATGATTTTTTTATTATTTATGAATTATTATTTATTAAATAAAGTGATGGATGGCACAAACTTCGGAAGACCTATACCCAGCAGTGGGTGAAATTAGGCTGTGGATGATGATGATAATGAAATAAAGTGAAATATAATTTTATCATCAATTGAATATAATTAAATTATTATTTCCATTTATTTGTAATACAATATATCAATATAATTTTATCTTTATATTTGAATTATTATATATTTTTATTAACTGTACTTTTAATAGTTTTTACTGTAATAGATTGTTATTGTACTTTTATACACTGTACTTTTAACAGATTATCTGCAACATTGGGATTATATAAAATATCTAGTTCAATGGAAAAACAAAAGACAAAATTTCACTTAAAAATTACTAACTATTGGTTACGTTTATTAAATGCGACTTAACTCTAAGTGGAGCCCAGTATTAGTCGATCTCAAAAAGTGAATAATTTCTGTGAATTTTTTAGGAAGTATTCGCCGTTAGCGGTCCAGCAATTCGACCGGCGGCAGCGAGGCGCGAAACGAGGTGATGACACGGAGGAATTCACGAATGCAAATTTCTCAGCTAGTATCTCATATAAAACGGAATACTGTTCTAACTCAAAATTGTGACATTGAGAAAACACTGTTTGAAAGTTTAAAAAATTCCTGAATGAAAGTAAGAAATATATCGTCGGTGTTTTGTTTTTGTGTTGTGTTTTTGGAGCACGTTTGTTTTAAAATATTTACGTCCTGTTTTAAATTAAATTTTGGTTTCAATTACGTTTAAGGCTCAATTCTGCGGAATTCTCGCGTATGCTGGAGAATGCTCGTGCATTCCCCGGTAGATTTTATCTCGTATCTAGTTTGTACGTTACACAATTGACCATAAAGTCCATTATGCTATGTACAATATCGTTATAAAAATCCGCTTCCATTCCATTCCGCCGTATTATAAATTGAGCCTTAGTTTTAAAATTTAAATTAAAACAGGATGCAAAAATATTTTAAAATAGTCGTGAAAATCTAAAACACGCTCCCCCGAAAAAAATTCCGAAATGGCGCTTACGCCCTTCCTACAAAACACCGGCGATATATTTTCGTTTATAAATGGATAACCAAATAATATCGTGTATAAACATAAAATAATCATAATTATAAATAAATAAAAAAAATAAATAAAATTCTTTTATTTCGAAAAACAAGTTCCATAATTTGTTAGTAAAATAGGAAAAAGTGCTTATAAACTAGTGTTAATATCTATTCTATCTTAAAAGTTAAATTACCTTCCTCACCAGGCACTGCCACATGGGAGAGGTAACCCTACCAGATACAGTTTGTAGAATGCTGTTGGGGCTGTCCCTCACTCTGCGCATCAGGGATGCTGTCTTCTTACGGAGGATGGCAGCAAAACCATCCGTCTCATATTCTGTAAACATCCCCGACGCACTGCAGAAACGAGGCAGCCCCAACATCATTCTAAAAATATTATTATATTGTACACGTAGGGTCTCCAGCGGCCGTTTGGTGTAGTTGACCCATAGGTTCCCGGTGTAGAAACTTTGACAGTACGCTTTAAATAGCGTTAATTTTACTTCTTCCGAACACCGGAAAAACCTACGAATCAACATATTACCTCTTACCGCTAGAGCCCTACGCTCTCTTTCAATGTCGACATTGTCCTTAAGGTCGTCGGCAATATAATGACCCAGATATTTAAATGTAGTTACTCTTTTGATGTTCATACCGTTAAGGGTTATTTCTGGGAATTCTTTAATGTTATTACCGGCGGCCCCAAAGACAATGTATTCACACTTTTTAATATTGTACACGAGACCATGGGAAGCAGCGTAGTCAGCACAGACCTTCAGCATCTTTTCGACCGATCTCGCTGTCGGGCCCAGCAGCACCATATCGTCCGCGTAGCTGATGTTGTTAACGCAAACACCATCCACGCGGCAGCCGACACGCATGCTAAATTATGCGCGATAAGATCCATTCAGTATTATTTTAAACTTTGAAATCGTGTTTTGTCAATACCACAATTTTGAGTTATTTCTACATAACTAACCGTTAATTTATAGTTACCATTTCCTTAACGTAACCGATCCTTTGTTTACTTACGGTGCTCATTAAACGCGCCGTCTTGTTGTTAAAACAAGTAGCGCACATCCCGGAAAGTAGAAAGAAATCTGATATCATTAGTTATTTCTTACGTAGAATACTACAGAGATCAGTAACCGGTATGTTGTTTTCTACAAAGATAATGCTACAAGTATAAATATAATATAATACAAAAAGCTTTCCTATCAATATTACGAAACAGGTAATCGATCTGTGAGTCTATAATGTGGTGACCGTAGGCAAGGGACGACTGATGGTAATCCCATTGATTACCAACGACTGGGAGTGACGGATGACTTTCCGGATGATAAAAATACTTTAAAGTATCATTGCATTGCGACCAATGCGGTTTTAATTCACTCAAACTCACGAGAGAAATAAATGTAGGCCATACAAATTTTTCTTCCGGCCCGGGAATCGAACCAGAGATCCCTGCGTGGCAGACCAGCATGGTAACCGTTCGGCCACAGAGGCAGTTAAATTTATTTAACCTATAGTAGCAACCTGTATTGGTATTAGTATTATAGTGATTAGCTCCATGTCATAGTTATACTTATATATATATCACAGTTAATACAATAGTGTATTAACTCAAAAAGTGTTATTTTTTTAGAATCGACGAAAAACGAATTACTCACTTCTCGTGAAAGGTTATTAAAATATGTGCATAAGTTAAAGTTTATTACAGACATCTAAATAATTTCCTATTTGCCAAATATATTTACAAATAAAAAAGAAAAAATAATTTAATATTTTCGAGTAAGGAACTATTTTGTCCAGAACTAGTTCGCATAAAGTTTGTCTCGTTTTGAGTTAAATAGATGTATTTTAATTGTTTCTTACAATATTCTAACGGCGTTTTTATTGACGTGTAGAGAACCAAATTTTACATTCAGCAATATTATAATCTTGAATTACACATATTTTGAGTTAGAACACTATTGTAATAGCAGTGCGATATGTATAGTTAGTCACTGTATTTGTAAATTACTACTGATATAAATTTGTGTGTTGTGAATTTCATTAGTTTTCATTTTAGTTTATGTTTTTGGGTGCGTGTTTTATATATCTGCTTTTCCACAATAGCGAGGACAAGCTGAAAATCAGTGCTGGGTGTGCGTATGCGCGTATGCTTTACACCATAATTTCCAAAGTGGTAGTAGGGTCGGTAAGGACCCCCAGTGCAGTGTCACTCAGAGCTTTAAATCGCAAAGATCTGAGGGGCACTGCCACTGCGCTCATCACCCTGAGACAAGTTGACAAGTCCCACATGCCTGTAATTTCACCAGCACCCTTAAACCTCAAAATCGAAACGCAGTAATGCTCATATTACGGCTTGACGGCAGACACAGGTAAGGCAGTCCTTCCCTGGACTCTTTCACAAGGAGCTCTACTGCTCCTATCTACTTCAAAAAAAAAATTCCTCTTTCAAAATTATCTAATTATTGTTTCTTTTGTCTTGGTTCTTGTGTCTGTAATAAACTTTAAACCTATGCATAAATTTTAATAATCTTTCACGGATAATGTGTAATTCGTTTTTCATCGATTGTGAAAAAATATGCTTTTTGAGTTAGAACAGTATTAACAGTGCTATGCGGTAAAAACACTTTTGACGCAAGATCACATCTGGCTTTATTATACGAAGGAAAAACTGAATGCTAAGATTTAGTGTAGAATTCATCGACTTCGTAACTGGACCTGTAGCTTAGTTGGTAAAACGTTCCAGTCCTGTCGGGTCGGGAATTTTTCTTTCTATTCGAACTTTGTATTTAATAATTATTACGGTAGTTATATAAAAAACAGAAAACAATAAAGAAAGAAAAAATATTTCTTAAGTTTTATTTTTATTTAGCCTTATTTTGTACGAAGCTTCCTTGCTTTATTTATTTTGAAGTACCAAGGAAGACGATCTCAAAGTTATTTATTGTCAACAGTTTTTCATCGCAAATAACATATTTTCGTGCTGCCGGCGATGTTATATCGTTATGGTAATGCATAAGTTTGCAATTGAGGGTGTACAACTAATGAAATGATCAAATGACAATGGTAAAATTGGTACCACGGATGATTATTGTAATACCAGGTAGTCGATTGTCAAATTGAAAAACTTTCAATCTGCCGCTCTGTAGATCACTTTCTCCTTTATATAGATCACTTTCGTAGTACAAAGAGATCAGACTAAAATTTGATATATTTTTAGGTTCTCTTGCCTCAGCAAGGAATAATGTGTACAAAGCACTTCGTGAGTTGTGAGTTTTCATTTGTAAGTCTGTTTTTTTTTCTTTTATGTAGTTATATTCATATTTTTTAATTGAACATGGGAACTACACAAGGTACTGTATAGTTAAAGAGCTTGTTATGTGTATGTATTGTGTAAGTTTCAAGTTGTGAACCAAATATGAAAAAATATATTTATTTACTTGATTTAGATTTGTTACTCTATTTATTTTTATAATATCAGCTTGCTAGATTTCAACTACTACAGTCACCTTATCTATTTCTACTGCCAAGCAGTAGTGTGAGCAGTACTGCGTTCCGGTTTTGAAGGATAAGAATGCTGGTGCGAGTACGGACACATGGGACTTGTCAGCTTATGTCTCAGGGTGCATTGGAAGGGACCTTCAGATCTTTGTGGTTTAAAATTCCGAGTGGTAGTGCAACTGTTATGGACAAGGGGTTCTTCGTTTCGACACTTAGTATCATGAAGAAAAGTCATTTTTTGAACAACATTTATAGCAACAGAAATCTGTTAATATGGTTTTAAATAAATTAACGTCAAAAATCTGTAATTATCAAGTAAGCCGTGGTAGCCTAAAGGTTTGACCTACCGCCTCTCAAGCAGAGGCCGTGGGTTCGACCCCAAACTCGCACCACTGAGTTTCTCTGAATTTATATGCGACATTTAATTTGAAATTTACTATGAGCTTTTCGGTGAAGGAAAATACAGTATTCATTCTCATTTATGATATGAAAGGAAGACAGCTGCAAACCTTGTAAAACAAGGTTATAAATGCATAATTGTATTTTGTAAGTATTTTCATTGGCATGGCAGAAAGTATATACGTTAAGCTACATTTTAAACCGAATTCAAAAAAGGAGTAGGTTTTTAATTCGGCTGTATTTTTTACATTCTAGCAGCAGAGGCCGTGGGTTCGACCCCAAACTCGCACCACTGAGTTTCTCTGAATTTATATGTGAAATTTAATTTGAAATTTACTATGAGCTTTTCGGTGAAGGAAAACATTGTGATATTGTCCCCAACCGGCATTGGGCGAGGGTGGCCGTCTTTGGCCTAAACCCTCGTCTGAAAGGAGACCCGCGCTCAGCAGTAGGACATATAAATGGGTTGATGATGAAATATCTGTATATATATTTTTCTTTTAAGTTGCAGTATCACTGCACCGGTCATCCTGAGACATAAAGTTGACAAGTTCCATACGTCTGAAGTTTCACCAGTATCTGCACATGAAAACCGGAAAGTAGTAACGTTCTAGTGAACGTTCTAGTGAACGTTACTACTTTCAACAAGCAGTAGCAACTACAAGTTACAAGCAGTAGTCTGCTTGGAGGGAGAAATAGATGTGACTCTCCTGTCCTCGGACTCTTTCACAAAGAACTCTATTGCTAATGATTGCTATAACCATGCTGGTCTGCCACGCAGAGGTCTCGGGTCCGGTTCCCGGACCGGGAGAAATATTCGCATGGTCTACATTTATTTCTCTCATGAGTTTGAGTGTCATTTATGGTAGTCTATGTATGTGTCCATAGCACCCGTGATACAGGGTTTCCCATGCTATGTGTGCGTATTTATTATTATTATTTTTAACGACCACTTCGCCGGTGCTGAAATTTCTCATTGAGTTTACGTCTATGACTTTAAAAATCATAATCGTATTAATGATTATTTTTTCATAAATATTTTCATCTAGATCCATTATACTGAGCGGAAAAATTATGAAGCATGACAAATAATGCAAGCAAGTGTTAAATTTAAATGCAATATCTCAAGTACAGCCGGTATTATACTCATTTTAGTCCTTTCAGTACGTGAAAGTGGTTCTCTGTAAAGTTGTGAATTTAGGCTTACGAATCTTTACTTAGGAGAAATGGATTTTGTGTTATTTTTTACCTAACGTTAGTGTTTAATGAAATATGTATTATGAGATCTTAAAATGTGACCAAAAATATTACTCATGTATATTAGGATGCAAATACAGTATTCATTCTCATTTATGATATGAAAGGAAGACAGCTGCAAACCTTGTAAAACAAGGTTATAAATGCATAATTGTATTTTGTAAGTGTTTTCAATGGCATGGCAGAAAGTATATACGTTAAGCTACATTTTTAACCCAATTCAAAAAAGGAGTAGGTTTTTAATTCGGCTGTGTTTTTTACATTCTACATTCAATTCATATACCTACGTTCCAAATCCGAGACTATACAAATCTAGAAAACTCGGACCCATTTCGGTTGTGCACTAAGTCCGATTCCAATCCGAAAAAACGAAACGAAATGACGCTTTGGACACCTGTGACAATTTGGACTGTCATTTCTCGGATTCGGAACTGATACGATCCAATGTAGTGCGCAAAAGCTCTAAGAGTGGTTACACACGGCGACTTACAGCAGCGATGTAAACGCCCGCTCGTGAAACGTTTGCATCCCTTCCAAAAGCCGCCGCGTGTAACAGCTCGAAGGGTCGTATTCCAGAACTCTACTCAATGCTCAAGTCAGGATTTGAGCAGACTTGAGTATGATTTCAAGCACTGGAAATACGACCCTAATGGCAAGGACTTGAGTATGATTTTCAGTGCTCATTGCAATACTCAAGTCCTGACTTGAGTATTGAGTAGAGTTCTGGAATACGACCCTTAGAGTGGCAAATTAAGGGATGACCCATTGTGGGTGCAAAGTGACGTCTCTCGTCTCTATCTACCTCGATGGGCTTAAGTCCAAGCATATTATGAAATAGTTTCAAATCCTAAAACCTTAAAATTAAAGTCAAAAATATTCGAGTAAGGTCTGCCAACTCAATCAACAGCTCTGTTGGTAGAGCGGTTGCCTTAGATTGACAAAACAGACACAGGTTCGAGTCCTGTCGGACCGATGTAATTTTTCTTTGTGTTCGATTACTAATTTTTGTTTTTAAAATACGAAGTGACGGGACGAACCCACGACTTGGGTCTGGTGCTAAGCGACACGCCTGTCTACACGTATAACAGTTGCGGTATCACTCGGAGCTTCAAATTACAAAGATCTGACGGGCACTACCACTGTGCCCGTCATTCTGAGACATAAGTTGACAAGTCCCATTGTGCCTGTAATTTCACTAGCACCCTAACCCTTCAAAATCGGAACACAGTAATGTGAGCATTACTGCTTGACGGCAAACATAGATAAGGCAGTATTTCCCTGGACGAACTTTTCACAAGGAGCGCTACTCCAAAATCCTATTGATTTACAAAAGACATCCTTCTCTGTGATATTAAAAAGAGCGTTACCACAGGACACTTGTGATAGCAGGAAGCGAGAGTGGGCTCGTGCCATACATCAGTACTCTTGTTCTCGGGGATCGTGATGAAGGGCTGGAACACTTTGATCGGCTCGAACAGCTTCACGATGCGGCGCCTTGTGCTCGTTGGTAATCTGTTCATTGGCACCTGAAAAATATAGGATAGTGTATTGCCAGAACAAATTGTGTTCCTTGATAATGATAATAAAGCACATTCTAGAGAAACCCCGTATCGCGGCTGCCATGGACACACATAGACAACCACAATTTACACCCAATCTCACGAGAGAAATAAATGTAGGCCGTACAAATATTTCTCCCGGCTCGGGAATCGAACCCGGGACCTTTGCGTGGCAGTCCAGTATGGTAACCGTTCGGCCACGAAGGCATTAAAAATAATAATTCGTAAGTACTGAATTTTACTTTGGAGCACAGGGCAGGATATGACACTGGTTAATTTAGTACTGTTGTTGCCTATTTCTGCCACCAAGCAGTTATGTGAGCATTACTGCGTTCCGGGTTTGAAGGGTTAAGGGTACTGGTGAAATTACAGGCACTTTCCAACTTATATCTCAGGGTAATGGGCGTAGTGGCAGTGTCCCTTAATTTTTTGTGATTTAAAGTTCTAAGTGGCACTGCAACTGTTATGGACAGGCGTGTCGTTTACCATCAGGCGCACTACTTGTTCGCCTCTTCACTTAGTATCATAAAAATAATTCAAAGTACATAACTGAACTACATAAATTATAACATATCTGTTAAAATAAACCGAGCTCAAAACTTTGCAGAGTTACGTCTATTTGTAATGTTTTATTGAAATCCGTTAATGGAAAGCGAGTGAAGCCCAGGATACCGGATCCCCTAATTTTCCAAATGTCGGAGCAATCACGTAACATGCTCACAAAAAAAATATGGACGAATAGAGAACCTCTTCCTTTTTTTAAAGTCGAATAAAATTTAAAAATAGTTTTATAAATGAAAATATAATATAAATCGGATCCTTGGTATAATGAATCTTTTATCATATGAAAGTCACAAAAAATACAAACTACATGATACAAAATTATGTATTATAATAAACAATGTTTTTTTTTTATTGGAACAGTATGGGGAAATCCGGAACTGTAAGAGATATAGGAAAACTCTCTTAAGAACCATACAAAGTCTTTCTTTGTGACAGCAATTTTGGCATAGTCAATTTTCTGACCAGCGTGTGCTGTCCATAAAAATGAATAAAAATCATTGTATCAGAAGAATAAAATCGGGCCAACAGAAGTTGGCCAAATTTAATAACAAGTTTTTTCATACAAAAGTGCGTGTGTCATTCTCCACTATTTCGTTATAATTATTAAAACAAAAGACGAACACTTAGAAATATTCTTTCGATCTGGCTGGATTCGAACCAGCGCCTTCAGCTATCGTGACGCTCTCTCAACTGTTTGGAGTAATATCCCAAAAAAATGTTATATGTCATGATAGTAAAACATTGTCATATCCAATAAACTTATTAAATCGTCGCCTTTCTTTCTCAAACTCGTATCTTAAAGCACAAAGTTACTGTAATGCAAAAAATAGATTGTATATACAAATTTTTGCAGGCTGATTTCTCGTCATATTTCCTTCATATTCGCACATTGGCTCTTGCCTTTTCTTAAAGCAATGCATCCAAATTAAATCCTTGATAAGAAATTTAGCATAAATAGAAAGTTTTGCCACCGTTCCAATAATCACTCTTTATAAGATACGAGTTTGACAAAGTAAGGCATCGAAATGTAATAATTATTAGACTTGGAAATTTATCTTCAGGTGCATTCGGAAATCCGAAGATTGCCGTAGAAGTATTAAGAAATTAGTTGTACTATCAGTATTTACACCCACCCGTTTCCTGTACCGTACCTCTTTCAAAGGAAGATCAAAAATATGTGTAGCTGCGAAAAAGTTATCTATAGTGTCGTTTACATTGCCATTTACATCAAACAATGTTGCGTCCACAATTACAAGGTTTTTTCGTCGCTTTTCCGACTTAATTTTCTCTTTAGTTACACTGTCTGGTGTTGATAAAGTTTCTTTTGTTTCTTTGTCTGTGTTTAGAGTATCGTCGTAGTTCATAGTCTCCGGCTCAAAGAATTCCGTTGTGCCTGCGCTCTGTGTTGCGTCAAAATTTGTTGAAAGAGTCTCACTGTCAGAGGTTTGAATTTCTTCATCTTCATTTGTTTCAATGGTTTGGTTGATATTTAAAGGAGTAGCACGTAAGTCTGCATCGGTCGTAAGTATCAAATTTTCAATAACATTGTTAGCACTAGTTGTCTTTTCAACTTTGTCTATTTCATTAGTATCATTTATACCAAAAAATGCCAAGTCACTAGCATCCTCTGCATTGTCTAATATCAAATTCAACTTCCGTGGAACCATGTTATTTGTAGGAGCACGGGGCAAAGGCATGCCGTCGCAGACGTAAATATCGGTAACTTCAAACACGAAGTTTTTCTCACAGTTATATCTCATCATTTCACATTCATTTAAAAACAAACGTACTTTAAATCCAGGACCAAATTTTCGGATACCACACACCACTTTAGTATCTATTGGTACTGCGCAATTATATTCAGAGCATTTGTTATTTTTCGCTGGCGATAATTGCTCCGTCCCTGTTGCGTTGCTATTGGACACCCTGTGCGCGTGTTTGCAGTAATCCATGTTAACTATCCCGTAGGCTGCAATGCAAATTGAACTTGTTAAGTATTGGTTAATTACCGTGTAAATCGGATACCTTAATTCTAGACAGACTAGAATGGCTGGCGGTGAATAGTGCAGTTTCTATAGGGGATGGTTCTATAATATACCTGTATTATATCAATAGAATATACGTAGCTTTGGAAGGAGGGTGTAGACGGGCTCCAATTATTCTGTGTCAGTACTTGCGTTAATGATCATATGGCGATGCTTGTGCTATGCGTACATTTCACAAATACATATCTGGATGATTGCACATTGCAAACGATTGCAACCCTGCGCGAGAAATGTTTGTCAATGAGAGGTCTGCGGTTCATTTAGTTGTGTCATTAACCGAAAATCGTATTTTATTGTACTCATTCTAGTACACATATAATTGAGTTGTTTGATCACGCTGAGAGTATATTAGTTTATTGAATAGTAAATAATAAATTTTGGTTACTATATTTCAGGCAAAGCAGAAGAGCTCTTGTGAAAGAGGTCGTCCAGGATAGTACTGCCACCTTACCTATTTCTGCCGCCAAGTAGTAATGTCAATACTAAGTACTGTGTTTTGGTTTAGAAGGGTAAGGGTGCTGGTGAAATTACAGGCACATGGGACTTATGGTCATGGTCAACTTATGTCTCAGGGTGACGGGCGCAGTGGCAGTGCCCCTCAGATCTTTGTGATTTAAAGCTTTTGTGTAGGACTGCAACTGTTATGGGCAGGCTTCTAGACTAGTTCGTCTAGATGTTATAAAAAAAACTACTAGAAACAATTGCTTAAGATGTTGTTTGCATTAATATTAGATGTAATTGGTTTATAACTTAGCCATCTCAGACTGTTGCTCACTCTCAGCTGTTGTAGCGGACTGTATCAATGGATTAAAGGTTGGGTGCTAATAACGAGTGAGCAAGGCCTAGCAAATATACTTACAGTTTAATCGTTTTATTAGAAAACACGTAGCTATCAAAGCAAAACAACAAACAAATCACGAATAGGCGCCAAAAGCAATCACGTTCAAATTTAGAATTTAAGTATAAAACTAAAACTTAAAGAGACTATAAAATATATACAAAAGAGATTTGTAGTGACTGCTGCGATTCGCTACAGCGGTGACCATAGATATATCTATGGCGGAGATCATCATGGATCCTATAAACTATGGATCAAATATCCGTGGGACATTGCCGGTACGCCCGTCACCCTGAAACATTGGTTGACAAGTCCCAGTACGTTTAAACTGGGACTTATATGTAGCTGTTTTGAACACAAGTCGAAAAATCACAATCAAAAGATGAATGGTGGTTACTTTGGCGCATTCAAAGTCATTCATGTACATCATTAATAAAGTGCAATTCATTTTAATTAGAAAAGGCCTACCATATTTTTGTGCAAGAATTACTTTTATGGTGAAGCAATGGGACTCAATTTTCGTCGAATGAATTAAAATTAGTAGTTAGGATTCAGGTATGCAACTGAATCCAAAACCAAAGAGGCAATTTTGAGGAAAAAAACGAGCATAAATTGGCTTTAATAAATAAATTGGTTCCTTTTATGCCTAAAAAACAAATGATTGTTTAGTTCTGAATAATAATTACGAAGAATAATGGTCCGTTTTCAAGTTAGTTTGTTATTAATGACAGATTTTAGAAATTATACCTTTTTTGGAAAAGCATATTTTGTTGTAAAAATTATTTCAGTTTATGTGGTATTTTTGGTACATACAAAAGTTTAAAATTATTGAGACATTGTAGGTAACTAAAAAAGACTATTTAATAATACCTATTTGTAACAAAAAATCTCAAAATGAATCTCATTTTGTTTAATTTTTTTTAATACGTCGCGGTTGTCATCACATTTTTTGTACTTTTAATTGAAGTTGGCGTAATTATCTAGGCAATGTCGGTATCATTACACCTTAACAAAAACTGATGTTTTTTTCTCTTTTTGCAAGTAATTATTGAAAAACGTTGAAAACATGTTATTACTTTTGTGATTAATTATTTTCAATTGTTTTGTAATTGAGATGGAAAAAGAAAAAGGCAAATAATGAAGCTTAATAATAAAATGTTTTATTTCCACATTAAGCGTATAATAAATAAGTGTGTTCGTCGGGATTGCTGGACCAAACGAGATATACAAATAAAACTGTGATCATTATGTACTACCGATTGATTGATAGACATATTTTCTACTTTTGTGGCCAGTCAACAGGTTGGCTGACCACTTTACGTTTTTCATGGTTCTAGCAGTATAAAATTTACTTTTTTTAATACAACTATTTTTTACAACTATTTATACAACTATTTACTATCTAATTTCTAGCTAAACATACTTTTTTTCACTATTTTAGGAAGCTTTTATAAAAAGTATTTAAAAAAATAATAAAATGCTTTGCTAAAGTTATCTCCTGAAAAGACAGTTTATCTTCTCCGTGTAATTACACGCAGAAGAGACTAATCTATGTTTGTTGTTGCATGTTGTTATTGACAATAGGCAGTAAATGGTTATATAAAAAAGTAAGTTATATACTGCCAGAACCATGAAAAACGTAAAGTGGTCAGCCAATCTGACGTCAGTATGGCTGGCCTCTTTATTTCTTTAATATTTCCATTAGTGCCAAGGTAGAAAATATGTTAATAAAGGTACTAAATAGTAGAAAATGGGTAGAAAATAATGAACACAGTTTAATAAAATAAAATAAAAAAAAATAAAAATTGTTTATTCAGTAACATAATGTACAGAGAAAACTAAAGACTACTTATGCGATTTAATGTAAAAATAACACATGTACCTGATAGGAAATTCCTGTATTTCAGGTAACATTTTTTTTGTTTGATTTGTTTATCTCGTTTGGTCCGGCCACCCTGACGGACACAAATAAGTCTTATCATATTGCGTTTATAGAGAATATCTATGTTTATTTTTCATTTGGAGACAGGGGACTTTTATTTTCTTTAAAAATTCTTTCTCGGATTTAACCTGCATGATGCCCAGTTCGGTTTCAGAGCTGGTCTATCCATTGAAAGCGCTGTACTATGTCTCAAACAGACTGTCCAGTACTATACAGCCAGAATGACGCCAGTATACGCATGCTTTTTGGACCTTTCTAAAGCATTCGATTTAGTGTCATATAAACACCTTAAGGCGAAAACTGCATTATGATACCAAAATGTCCAAAGAAGTTGTGTCTATGCTGGGCTATTGGTACAGCAATCAGAAGTACACTGTCAAGTGGGCAGGTACGCACTCGGAAGTATACAGGTTGGAATGTGGGGTGAGACAGGGGTGTAGAGTTCACCGCGCCTTTTCAATCTGTATATGAACCGTCTCATCGGAGGGCTCAGTGGCACGGGCATCGGTTGCCATATCGATGGAGTCTGTATAAATAATATCAGCTATGTCACTGAGCCCTTCGATTAGTGTCCTCCGTAGATTGTTGCGTATATGTGAGTTGTATGCAGAGGCCCATGGACTTTAGGTACAACGCAGGCACTAAATCATATTCTGTTGTGCCTCCGGTTAAACTTCCTGATATTCCCTTACAAAAAGTGAAACGGTTTAAATATCTGGGGCATTGGGTCACTGATGATCTAAATGATAATTTAGATATAGAACGTGAACGCAGGGCGCTGTTTGTGCGGTGTAATATGTTGGCACGGAGGTTTGCAAGTAGTAGCGACCAGGTTAAGGTTTTGCTTTTCAAAGCATATTGCCAGTCCTTCGACACGTGTAGCATATGGGTTAACTTTACGCAGCGTGCATACGGCGCACTGCGCGTCCAATATAATAATGCTTTTAGAGTGCTATTTAAGTAGCCGCGTTACAGTAGTGCCTCCAGTACGTTTGCTGAGGCTCGTACAGATTGCTTTTATTCAGTTATACGAAGGCGTTATGCCTCAGTCCTGATTCGGTTACGAAGCAGCACGAATGGCATCCTTAACACCCTTGCCGCTAGATGGGACTCTACGATGGTGGGGCGCTTAGTGCAGCTGCACACGGCACCAAGCCGGTAGCTGCGCCTCGAGCCTTTCTACAGGGAAATCTCATTAATAAATATTAAAATGTACTTTCCCAGTTGTTACTAACTCTTGTTTTTAAGTTATTTTGTTACTAACACCATGGATTTATAGTCCGAAATAAATGATGATTATTGTTACTATTATTATTAACTTTTTGTCACTAGTTACCTTTCAAGTAGAGTAGGCAACCGCTACTGATCGTCGTCCCTTACACACAAAAAGAGATTCTCCCGCAAAATGATGTAGTAGCTAGTAAATAGAAGTAATTGTCTTGATTGTCATGATAAAAGAATTATGTACGAGTAATAAAAATGTGCTGAATACACGTACCTTCTTCGTCTTTTTCCATTGCACAGCCAAATTTCAACAATTCACATTCATTTTCGAATATTTTCACTCGGTACCCTGTTCCAGTACTTCGTATGCCACAGACAGGTTTGTTGCGGGAATCAATACACATTTTAACTTTCTCACAGAACTCTTCTCTCTCAGTGTCTATCAATAAAATTGGAGTTATGTAAAATAGGAATATAATAACTACGAAAAAATACATTTACGTGAGTAATGGTGATGTAACAAAGAAACACCTTGGTTAAATGTAGAGCATTTGAGTGAAACAAAATTGAAACTCCTAACCGTGGTTTATAGTTTATTTTTGGGTTTTAATTAATATTTCGAGCCTTGAAGTTACGTAATAATCAATTTGAGTTTCAAAATAATTTGTTATACAATTCGAATACAGAGAAAAATTTTAGTTATGATACTACTAATGCTATCTAGTAACGAGTAGCTAAACTAAATATATGAATCGCCACCTACGTTCTACAAACGTTCTACTAGTACCATCTGTTGTCAAGTAGCAGTATCTGTTACCAAATGAAAACAAGATGAAGTAAAATTGTGTTTTATATCAGTAATTTTTATTTATAATAGATGGCACTAATTTATAGTAGACCAACTACTACACCACCGCCCTCGCTGCTTTTACTGAAGGCATACTATTATTATATATATGAGTATTTTTGGTTTTGAACAATGTCCTACGTGAGTGTGAAGTTTCTGTTTAATTGTCACCGTCAGTGTTATTGGGTGGCGTGTTTGTCAATGTCACGTTGTCACGTTTTGTAGAAATGATTTCCTCGAAAATGTGATGTCTATAATATTTCGATAGGATTACACAATATTTTAACTCTGCATGCCGCTGCGTGTAACTAAAGTTTTTGCCTTGACATAAAATAATATTGTAGGTGTATTGATTTATAGGAATAAGTTTTATAAACCAACGACATTCGAAATGACCTCCAAAATTGATATTGTTAAGCCAAAAACAGTGAAAGTTTACGAACTAGATGAATTCGAAAAACTTTTAAAGGGTGTAAAAGTGGCGGCATGCATGCTTACAGAGTCCCAGCCAGTTGGTGAGGCCCTAAAGTTTTCTAAATATTTACGACAACTAACCTCAAAATACTTGACACTTATACATAACATGTAAGTAAAGAATTATTTATAACTTTCAGTGGATGAAGAAAGTGTATTAAAGCGACTTAACACGTTAACCCTGAATGGGGCAGCCGATGGCAACTGCTGCTCATGTTGCGGCGTGGGACCATTCAAGAGCCGCGCTGACCAAACCACACATTATAAGAATCATTGGCATACTTACAATCTAAAAAGAAAGTTGTTTGGAAAATCTCCGCTGACACTGGGGCAGTTTAATTCCAGACAAGGTAACTATTTTGTTTTTTTACATACTACTAATCAATAAAATACCTACCTATTGAAACCGTGTGTGAAACCTACCGTGTGGAAAACCATGCCGGAACACCCTGTATATTGATATAGGGTGCTCTGGCAGGGTTTCCCACAAGGACCAATATCCTGCTGTGGGAAATTACACAATTAAGGAGCTTTGCAACAAAAAACAATAAATCTCATCAATGTCAATTCCTACTTTGTCTAGTTTCATTGAATAGATTTGCCATACTGTGTTCAGCCCCCGTAGCATGGCTACGCATGATAGTCGCGACGCGCGCGATAAAATTGAAATAAACGCGCCTTATTGGCTGTCTCAATAAGATCTCAATCAGAATTTAGACAGCGAATAGCGCACGCTTATTTCAATTTTCACGCGCGTGTCGCGACTATCATGCGTAGCCATACTACAGGAGCAGATCAAAGTATTTAAAATATATTTTATGGTGATTCTTATTCAGGTTGGATACAATATTCATAGAAACATATAAAACCTGATGTTTCAGCTTTATCTGTGGTATTAAAATAACAGAAAAGCCTGTCCAACCAGTTATTTAACTTTTGACATATTGTTATTATTATTAGGGTGGCTTCATTCGGGGCATATGTAGCCCCTAATCATTGCGACCATCAGTTGATCTATTGTGATCACCACTAATTACAGTTCAGAGCCAAGGCCGACAGCATTGAAGAACTGAAGGACTTTCCTGGCTCCCACAGATTTAATGTCCTCTGGTTGTGGCATGTGCCTTCTCAGTATGGAGCTTCGTACGCCCATCAGGGGGTAACATTGGGTGATAAGATGAGCAGGAGTTCCATCCGCCTCGTGGCAGAATCTACATTCTCTATTCTCTCTGCCCAATATTTGACAAGTGCTTGTTCAAGCTACAATGTCCTGTTAAGACTCTAGTGAGCATTCTGATGCCATTCCTGTCTAATGACAGAGCTTCTCTACAGTGTTTGGCACTGTAGGCAGCTATCAGGGCTTTTGAATGCTCAAGACCCTTAACTCTGTAGCCACACTTCTCAGGAGACGTGTGTGCTCTCGTTCAGCATAGTGAGCTTTGCCAGGCTGTATGCTATCCCTGTAAAGGGTTTGGTTGGTCCAATAAATATTTCCCTAGCACCAGCCTTTGCCAGTTCGTCTGCTGCCTCATTTCCCTCGACGTCAGAGTGACCTGGACACCAGCGCAGAACCACTTTATTCCTTTCCCCGAGAGCATTCAGTATAGTCACACAGTTCTCTACAGTCCTCGATGTTGCATGCAATGCATTAGGGCCGCGCCCGGAGTAGTGGACATGGCTCCCGTTACTAGCAAGCACGCGATGCGCTGTAGACTGCTCAATGTGGCAATATTGGTTGTTTTGATGACTTTAGCGCTCCAAACAGCAGAGGCATATGTTACTATGGGCCTCACTATTGCCTTATATGTATAACCAGAGAGTCATCTTTGGTTTTAGACTCCCAACGTTGTCCCACCATACGACTACAGATACCTAAGGACACCTTGAAATATGCATGCCTCTGAAGTTCCATAATTACTGACATACAACCATAGACAAAAAATTTCATTACTTCAACATGCTCTTTAGCTCTGATATTTATCGAGCCAACAGATCATGTAACAAAGACTATTCAAGTTGGTAAATTTGGGTACCTGTCTAATAAATTATAATGAAAATAATAAAATTATAAATAATTATAATAAATTCTTATTGTTCATTATCTATATATCTATAATATCTTCGGATTCTTCTCTATCTATACAAATGGGAATCATCACTTGAATTCTCACTAACATTAATTATTAATTCATGAAAACATAAATCATCAATGCAACATCACGATCCCAATCTGACAATATCTTCTTTTATAAGAGGACCCCTTTTGCAATGGATGGAGTCATACTTGACAAACTGTCAACAATGCGTTGTTGTCTCTAAAATAACAAATAATGAATTATTGGAGTTCAAGTCAGTACCTAAAATCAAAATACGTTGAGTTCCACAGGGAAGTGTGATAGGACCAATTCTGTTCTTGCTGTACATAAATATGATATTATAGACAGAACAAAACATCCATGCATATTATTCGCTGACGACATATCTATTATAGTAACTTCTAGTAGAAAAACAACTTCAATAAGAGAGCATGAACTAAACATAAACAATGCAATTGTTGAAATAATAAATTGGTTACATTCAAATAATCTGAATATTAACTTAAACAAATCAAACTATATACAATTTAATACATCGAGACATACTAAATATAATTTCAATTTAAATATTGATGCAATTCAGGAAATTTTGCGCTGGTACACGTGGTGCAGGGAATTGCCTAATTTGAAACTAGGTAATTGGTGTAGTTGTCTGGCACATTATTATTTTTGTCTATTTAGATGAGGACTCCAGTGTGTCAGACAGTGAAACTGATGATTGCTACAGCACTCCAGCAAGCGAGTTGTTTGCAGCAGCCACACGGCATTGCAAGGCCTTCTTTACCAATCAGAAAGGACAAGTCTTCTGCATCTACCGATGTATTTTGCATCATAAAAAGGTAAAAGGAACTCTAAAGCCTAAACAATGATGTTAAAAATAAAATTACCGACTGTTTAAATTTTTATTGAATTGATATTCAATTATTTTTATATGAAATTACTCCACTAGTTTGTTATAATTATTAATACAAAGATCGAACACTCAAAAAAAATTCCTTCGATCCGGATTCGAACCGACGTCTTCTCATCGACGCATACCGTGCCAGACTCTATACCAACTAAGCCACGGAACGAACCAGCGGACCTCACGAATTTTTCTGTGTGCTTGCGTCGTATCTTTGTATTTTGGTTTTCAACGATTTTCTGGCCGTAGCGCAATCAATGAGAAATCTATGATATTTCGTCACCCAGTTAGATACCTTTACAGCTAACAGCCCCGGCAATAGATGTCATATTCGTTGTATTTAAATACAAAAAATAGCGACATTTCTGAGAGTTCGATCCTTGTATTAATAATTTTATCAACTGTTTTTTAGATGTATCCATGCATGTCAAACTACGCCTAGTCATTCTTTCAAATTTTATTATTGAAAAAACGTGACTTAGAACTAATTTTAAATTGTAGGAGCAACTATCAACAGATGGTGAAGGTCGGATATGGGTAGAGAGGTGTCAACGTCTCATCTCACCAGGTTTTCAACGTTGGGCTGTAGTGATGGTATCAGGGGGTCATTTCGCGGGAGCAGTGTTCTCTGGAGGGGCAGCAGTTGTGCACAAGACCCTGCATTCGTATATTGTGAGGAGAGGACAGGGACAAGCACAGGGGACACGGGACCAGCACGGAAATGCGCCTAAGTCTGCCGGTGCTAGCTTGAGGAGATATAATCAGGCACAATTTTTGGAGGTGGGTAGACTATACAATTCTTATGTTGTCTTAGAGACGTGGTACGTTACAATACACAACACTAATCCTCCTCGTAATTTTCTTAGATTTTTTAAAAGACTTAGAAAGAAACAAAATAGAAAAATATGACCTACATCCTCCCCAATTCTTGTAATTCTGTTGACAAGTTATAAGAATTGGAGAGGATGTAGGTTGTGTCAGAGTGCCCCTCAGATCTTTGCAGTTAAAAGTTCTGAGCAGCACAGCACTCTTTTTTTTTCATAATACTAAGTGATGGAACAAACAAGTCGTGGGCCTGGTTGTAAGCGACACTTGTTCGTCCGTTGCTTGATATGAAAAAATACTGAAGGAAGTTTTCTTTGTTTTCGGTCTTTGTATTAATGAAAAAAAAAAAAATTTAAATTATTATAGCAAAACACGAGATATTCAATAAATAAACACCATTCCACAGCATGTGCAAGAAATAATGTCGGCCTGGTCCGAAGACCTGGCAGGCTGTTCTCTCGTGTTCTACCGCGCCGTGGGCTCCACCAACCAAGCAGCACTGTTTGGCAAGAACTCTCCGCTGAACAGAGATGATCCGCGCTTGAGGGCGCTTCCCTTCCCTACAAGAAAACCTACCTATAAGGGAGTGCAACGCGCGCACGAAACCATTTCCAGTTTGGAAGTTTATGGTAAATTATTCAAAATAAACTTACAACATCTTTCTGTATTACTCTTAGTTTACATGTCGTCGGCTAAATTCATAAACTTCTTAACCTCCAGTAGTGTGAACTTTAAACTAGGCATAAAAAACAGAATTACTAGAAATAATTATGTGACAGTCTATGATAATACCTTAGGTAATTTTATAACTAAAGAAGGATCCATAGTCCGTCTTTTTTGAAGACCGAGTAAAATGGCATTTGTAGGGTTACCAGTTTTCATACAATTTTAAATAGTTATGTATTTGTTGTCGATAGTTTTATCAGTTTTATCGATAGATTTTGAAAGAAGATAAAATTATGCCGTAAATGACTGAATTGTGATTGTTACGACGTTCTAATGATTACTAATTGCCATTGACTTACAAATAAATGGACGACGGGTCTAATACAAAAACCACGAAAAAAATGTCCCAAGTCAACCTATTTAAACATAGTGACATGTAAAGGAATATGAAAAAGCTTTTAAATTGTAATGTCATCGCAGTACTGTCTAATTTTGCTTGCTTCGCTGTCAGTCAAACAAACGAAAACTAAAGCGTGAATGACGCTCTGTATACGATTTTAACGCCCTATAAGTTGGGACACTTTTTAGCGCGGACCCGACGTCCATATAATTGTAAGTCAATGCTAATTGCGTTATTGTCTTCTTATTCTTATTTTGATAGTTAGCTTACTAGTATCGAGAGCAATTTTTGTTCATAAACTTATTCCATAAGCGTGACCAACATTCAGTCGAAAGAATATTTATCGACAGCAATCACCAGCTGCTCGCTAGCGGGCAACAGTTTTACGCGATGAACTGTCATTTTACACATTATATTTTAAGCTTTAATAGCCCGATATTGCGGATGAAGGGTAAAAATGGAATGTTGTCCAAAAACGGAGTTACGAAGTTTTCAATGTTAGTCGACGATGTGCAAATACTATGCTGCGTTCCATAGCTCGGTGGCAAACCCTGAGTTTGAACTTCTGGGATTCTATCAAAGACCAAGTCTGAGCGCAATAGATGACGGTAAAAACTTATAATAAAATACCAGAACGTATAAAGACCGGAAACAATATAGGAAAATATAAACATGTATTGAAATAATTTTTATTATTAAAAGGCTTTCGGCTAAAGGGATTTGTGGCAAGAGTTTTTGAAATAAATGTTTTTAAAATAAAATGGTTTGATATATTTAATAATAAACAAAGGATAACAATAAATTAACTAAAAATATGTATACATAAAATTAATTAATAATCAATATGATAATGTAAATTGAATTAATTTCAATTTCATTTCATTTCAATGCTTAATTTTCGTTTGATTTGGTTTATTGAATTTAATATTAGATTTTTTATTTAGAATAATTAAATAATTTGAACGTTTATTATGTTGCGGTACCCTACCAGGGTTCATGTCTAGGTACTGAATTTTCAAATGTACACCATGTCAACCACATGATTGCAATAAATAAATGAATTATGAACTGATTGTATGCACATATCCATGAGCCTAGGTTTAAGTGACAATGGTATGTGTGTCATGGACCAATTGCTCCTCCAGGCGTTTTCAGTCCGGTTTGATCTCTTTCTCTTGTGGCGCCTGGACCTCCTTTTATTATAGTACTTTTTAATATATGTCATCAAATCTGTATAAATCTACGAATTTGTTAGTATTGGTACTTGGTACTTGTACTTGGTACTTGGTGCAACGGGCTGGTTTCCGCAACTCGACGACAAAGCGCCTATTTTGCGTGTGGTGGGTGCAGGGTCCTACTCGTGCCACCCAAGCTCCTCCAGGAATCTCAGCAGCCTCCTTGGTTTGCTGAAGACTTCGGGGAGCGACCTTGGCACTCCAAGGTACTTTGCCCTGTAGTTGGCCACGCCGGAGCATTGGAGTAGGATGTGCGCAGCCGTTTGTTAGTATTTTATTAAGGTTTTATAAAAAAACAATTTCAGACACGATGGAGCTATTCCAGAAAGCACTTATAACAGCGTTTGCGAACAAAGCCGTGACAAAAACGGGATCCGATACTAGCATTGGGAATCAGAAGAAAACAGGGAAAAGTAGCCCTAATAAACCAATTGACAGGGCTAAATCCAGGTAATCTACAAAAATATAAGTTTCGTAATAAAAAATCCCTTTATTATAATTTTACATTACTGTATTCATTGTCATTTTTTTGAGTTAGTTTGATACTCTTAACTCAAATGATTGTCTTCCCCGACACTACTTGGGTATATAGTCCGTTTCAATCCATTTTGTAAAAATGGTAAACAAGTCCGTTTTCTTAAAATTCTTGAGAAATTGTTTAATAAACTGAAATGGAGGAATGAAGGTAAATGTTTCAAGATTTAAAATTCGTTAATATGCCAAATGGGATTCAGAGTACGTTAATATTGCACCATTCACAGAACTTTCATCTTAACAAATAATATTCTGTTATACTATAATATACGAAGGGTCAAAAGTAAGTCATGTCCTGACATATTAAATTGAACTCTATGCAGCTTGCGATAAGAACAGTCTAAAGTCCAAAGTGTAAAATGTCATCCTTGTTGTGCTCTTTACGCTACGAGAATAATATTTTATAATCCCGCTATGACTACCTCAGCGATTAGCTTTATGGCACTAGATGAAGACGTCTTACGTTCAAAAGCCGGTAGGACCAACTTAGGAAACATTTTTTATACTTGGGTCTGATTTCCATTCCGTTTTCGACCAAGTAATTGACGTCTGGTTGTCTGACTCATTACATTAAAAAAAAATATAATCACTATTTTCAGAGAGCGTATACCCAGAGAACTACCAACGCAATTAATCTCAAGTGAAGATGAAGGGCCATGTTTTATAGACTCTGAAACCCCAGTGGCCTGGATCAAAACACTCTCGGAACAAAATAAAAATGGAGTCATCACGAATAGTAGAAAAGATCTTATCAACGATTGCTCTATTGCCAGCGGGAATTCTGACACAGAGACAGAAAGTCTGCCGGAGAAGAAAGAGATTGTTAAGAAGAAGAAGAAAAAGAAGGTTGACGAAAAAACCGTGCCTGTTAAGAAAGTGCTACAGAAGATCCCTGCTAATGTTAAAAAGGTAGTAATAATAATAATGTCTAATTGAATTGCTTCAACATAGCGGGTTTTTTATTTTAACGTAGCTTCCATCCGCTATATTGTTTTTAACCGACTTCAAAAAAGGAGGAGGTTCTCAATTCGACTGTATTTTTTTTTTTTTTTGTATGTATGTTACGCGATAACTCCGGAATTTGTGAACCGATTTTCATGATTCTTTTTTTGTTGGAAAGAGGGTAATTATGGAATTACCCTCTTTCCCCAGTTTTTAGTGGTCCCATTTTATTTTGAAGAAAATCAACCACCTCAAAGGGTGGCTGTTCACGCATGAAGATTCATTTTTATAAATAGCGCCTGACTTTAATTTAGGAGCAATTACTTTTAGCAATTATTTAGTTGATTTTGCTATTTCTCCGATTCAAGGCGTTTTTATCTCGATATACTTTGAGTACCTAGTGTCGTAGTGAGAACCTATTTTTATTATCTCCAGTATCAAGTCCTGTATAGTGGCGAACTAGGGGATATTTCAATGAAACTTAGCAAATAGATGTAATTCCCACGTACTTTTGAGGTCGGTTTTTTTAGTACTTTGTACTGAGATTATTTTTCATACATTTAAATGTGTGTGTTACATTTTTTTCAATGTGACGGCATCGACTGTTTATTTTTTTTATAATTTGTGTAAGTTTCTATTACAGTCATTGACTTACAAATAAATTACAGTACGATAAGCATTTATTCGACACGAATTTCAACGCGTATTCCGCGCAGCGACCACGTGTGTTTAACTGTCATGGCAAAATACGCTCTATTTCTTTAGCTGTTACATTTTAACTTAAATGAGCGACCCGGACACGCTGGCGAGCTTGGATTGAATTTGGTTTACGCGGCGACCGCGCGGTTGTATTATTCATATGTATATAAATAGAATTCAGATTTGCCATTAATGTACACGAAGGTGTGTTAACTAAGCGGTCGCCGCGCGAAAACTTTCTCCTCGGCTCTAATAATATCATTACAAAAAAATAAACCATGGCCATGGGCCAATAAGGGGACTTCTAATCTCTATTTTTTTTTTAATTTTAGGAAGACCAACGGCTATCTTACATAACATAAACCTAAATAAAAACGGAGAGCCAATTATAGGTCCTCACCGGTAGAACTATACTACAGATCGTACCACTTTAATATAAAATACAAGTAGTCAGTTTTTTCCTTGTAATATTATTCAAATATTGAGCATGAGCTAAACTTATTTTCTGAATTTTGCGAAATATGCGTATCCGTAGTATCCATAGATGGCATTGTGTGTCACAAACTATAAATTACCGCTTCCTAATATGGGTAGATGGCGCTAATACTAAACAAATTAAAAGAATGGCCAAAGAATAGCGCCATCTAGTTGATTTGTTTGTTATCACTAGAAATTAAAGTTGCTTTGATAAATTGCAGCTCGTCAATGTAAAACTAATTACTTACAAAAACAGTTACTTGGCACACGTCGCGACTAATACGTACGTCCAATAGGTACTAAATACCCGACCACTCTGTCTTGTACCGCAATTGGTAGTCGTCAATGACTTGATCGTTATACACTGGAATTGAAACTGTATTTTTCTGATCTGATCTTGTTTTTCAAATGAAACTTACGGGCTCTTTACAGGGTCCCAAGTCTGCTAATTCTCTTGGCCATTGTAATTCTATTGGGAATCCACTGAGACTATGTTGCAATTATGATAATATTTGCTATCCTGCTAAACTCTAGTTGCTATTGTAGTTGGGTCTCAATAGTGTTCATTCATTCATGCAATCTCTAATGACCGATTTAAACCACACTTATCATCGCGTAACATTAAGCCGGTCAGAAAAAGCTTTATCTCCATGAACGTAAGAGCGAAAAAGACGTTACGCGTATCGCATCGGTTCGTATGAACGCGACTCGCTACAGGTCGGCAATGAATCTGCTTACTGCGAACTTCCGATCGCGTCCGTACGCATGCCGACGACGGCTGATCCTAGTTTAGAAACAGTGTGGTTAAAACATTATCGCCTCAAACTGATTCCGCGTCAATAAGTTTGGTTTATCCCTTACTAAAACTACCATAGAAATTACTAACCATATCTTAGTTTTTAGTTACCTTATCAGACGCGTATACGTGCCGCAGACGCGCTGTAGTGAATCGATTCGAACACGCGCAAACATCGCGTTGCAAGCAAAAAGCTTATATGCTCCGCTAGAGTTTGCTCTCAGAATTTCATGTAGTTGCTTCGTTTAAAAAATTAACAGACAAAACTAAATACGTTGTGTGCAAAGGATCTTACAGCTAGCGATCGCGTAAAATGTTTGTGTACAAAATGTTGTATCTTGTGACCGCTAGAGGCGCTGTATAATTTGCCATACAAAATTATGAAGTAATTTTCGTGCGTTAGCGCCAACTGTCATAGTAAACTCGAGGCACTGTTTGGTTAATTTTGTCGGTATATTTTCTGTTTTCATTTCTGTAAGCCATTTTCTATTAGCTTACAGTTATCCATACTTCGCAGCAATTACAAACGTTTTTCGGAACCTTTTTTACTTACTTCCCAAATAGTAATACATTTTCTTTTTCTAGATTTGGAAAGTAATAGCTGGCAATGAACAGTCATCGCTGGAGACGATATTCGAGGGCTTGGAGAGCGTGGAGCTCGAAGCTGCATGCAATATGCCGGATCCGAACGACGGCAACACTGCACTCCATAAGGCAGCTATAGCTGCCAAGCCAGATATGGTTACGTGAGTAGCTTTATAGTTAAACATTTTTTTTTATAAAGTTTCTTCCTTGCTCTGTAGGGTTAACTGGCAAATACACATTTGAAGTTGATGAATAAAGAAAGGCAGGGGTCTACTCAAAAAAGAAAAAAATTGGAACGTGGTCTATCAGACAAAAAGTTTGGGAACCTCTACTCTATTCGGTGTAGCATTTCCAAGTTAGGTCCTTCCAAGCGTTTCTTGTAATATCTTTCCTAGACTTCCTTGTACGGAACCTGGAATTGTCATTGGCAGTAATAACCATGGCCCCTTCGACGACCCACACTTGATGAGGATTATTTGGGACTGTAGTGAAAATGCCTGGTTGAGAATTCTTCTAGAGGTTCTTGGCCTTGCTTATCGCGGTCAGATTTGGAATGTACTCTTTTATAGTGTGCGAGCGGGACTGGAGAACTATAAATATTCCAAGCAAGACCCACCTGCCTCTCATTTATTTACTAAAAATTGTACATAATGTAATAAGAACTTAACATAACGTGATAAGAACTTATTCTAATAAGTCTTACAACTAATATGTACAACAAAAGCAAATACCAATTACAATCTTTTAAAATTACATAACAAATCACATGGGCGCGAACACGTTTTCGTCCTTAACAGTAATATTATATTAATCTGGCAGTGGGCTTTCATTTGAAGTTTGTATTACAATTGCCAAGAATATTATCATAGAACCTTGGTGGCCCAGCGGTTAGCAATTTGGGCGTTAGATGAGGCAGTTCTGGTTTCTGTTCCCGGACCACCAGTTTTAAAAACAAACTTTATTTATTTGGTTCTGGTTAGCTAGCTCAGTGGTTTAGGTCTGCGGGCGTTAGATGTGGAAAGGCCAATTTGCGACACGAACTTTAATAAATGGATTCTAGTTTGGGTGTTCTGAGCAGTGTCCCAGAGTTCCGATGTTCGGGTATTCACAACACAGGGAATTGTCTAGTTTGAGATTCCCAGGTGTGCTTGTTAGCAAGTAAATTAGAACATTAATCTAGATAGTATTTTTGGTATAGGCAAATTCTCGTTGCTGGCGGCGATCCGTGCATCCGAAACCATGCTCTGCAAACGCCGTACGCGGCTGCACCGCATCCGGACACGCGTGTCGCCTTCAGGCTGTTCCAGGCTCAGCATCCCGACAAGTACAACTATGCCAAGGTATGTATTCACTTGTAAAGCTATCGTTTTGACCAATGAAGATGGAAGTGCCTTGAGGTTCTTTTACTATCATAACTGCCTCTGTGGCCGAACGGTTACCATGCCGGACTGCCACGCGGAGGTCCCAGGTTCGATTCCCGGGTCGGGAGAAATTTTTTTGTATGGCCTACATTTATTTCTCTCGTGAGTTTGGGTGTAATTTGTGGTTGTCTATGTGTGTGTCCATGGCATCCGCGACACAGGGTTTCCCTAGTGTGGGGCTATGTTGAGTGTGTGCGTTATTAAAAAAAAAAAAGAACCGCTGTCACCAAAACTCACATTCATAATTTGAAACACTATGAAATCTTGACTTGGACTTGGACTTGGACTGTTAATATAATTTAATCTGTGTGTACCCTTTTGCCATATCGTTGAATGTTTCGTTACCTGTTATTTGCAACGTTTTTGTTTTTATATTGAAATTTCAATCAATGTGCTGTCATCTGGCGGTCAATAGCTGAAGGACGACGAATTCGAGATGTTCACTTAGCCCTCTAAAAAGAAGCGATTATATTGCAGCGGGATATGGTTTACTTGTGTTTCTTGTGATAAAACAATTATTATGATTAACAAAAAAAATTGGAAATTTATTAAAATTTCATATAATAAGATTTAACGATTATATGAAACACTATCATAGATAATATTACAATTGTGACTATCATTTTTGTACTCCAAAGTAGCAAAAGTTTTTATAAGATATATCACGGAGAGTGTGCGATGTAATTACACGTTTTAATTCAGCCTTCCCTTTTGGATTCTACCCCTATGTTGTGGACGTTCCAAAGATTCGCACGAAGCTTTACGCTTTCAAATTCATAGAGTGGAATTCCCTGCCCGCAGACTTGTTTTCTGCACGTTATAACTAAAAGATCCACTTTTCAAGGCGAGACTGAATAGGCATTATTTAGGTGTACAAGCGACATCCTCGACCTCATCGTCACTTTCCATCAGGTGAGATGTAGGTCAAATGCGTACTTATTTTTTATATACAAATAAATAAGGCATATTTCTACGATTTTCGAGGTGTTGCCTGAGATAATTGACTCGACTTTACGTACAGAGTGAAAATGGCGGACTGCGCTCAGGAATGTGGAACTTCGCGTACTGTTGGCGCACGTGACATGCAAACTAAGCACTTCTATCGTATTTATTTATTCTTCTGTGGATGTTATTTAACATTTATATATTTAATTTTATCTCACTACACCAAACAGTCGCACATTCCCGGTCCGTTGACTACCGAACTCCTGGAGCAGGAGAAAGAACGTAAAGCTCAGCAGAAACGCGCCAAGCGGCAAAGAGACAAAGAGAAGCAAGCGGAGAAGATCAAATCAAACAAATTCTTGCAGCTCACTGATGCTGAGAAGGTACGTGAAGATTTGTGTTATTTCTTTGGTCATATCTAAAGCCATTATATATATATTTCATTTCAATATCAAGTCAGTACCATAATGAAGTGCAACACGCTATTTAACCTAACCAATAACAATGGCTTTGATGTCATGTGGTTTAAGATAGGAAATAAAAACGTTTAGACTTTCGTGGTTCTTCACTAAATGATTATCATTCATTACAAATTTCTTAACACCACGGCTCTCTCTCGACTTCATGCAGTTAATGTATGCAGTCGTTATCCGAGCCCTCGACTGCATGAAGTTGATAACGATTTCACGCAGTTGAGATCGATTTCATGCACTTAATGCGTGAAGTCGTTATCAACTGCCTCCGTGATCGAACGGTTACTATCTGACTGCCACGCAGAGGTCCCAGGTTCGATTCCCGGGCCTGGGGAAATATTTGTATAGCCAACATTTATTTCTCTCGTGAGTTTGGGTGTAATTTGTGGTGATCTATGTGTGTGTCCATGGCAACCGCGACCCAGGGTTTCCCTAGTGCGGGGCTATATTAAGTGTGTACATTATTATTATTATTATTATCAACTTCGTGCAGTCGAGATCGACTTCATGCATTTAATGCGTGAAATCGTTATCAACTTCATGCAGTCGAGATCGACTTCGTGCATTTAATTCGTGAAGTAGTCGACTTCATGCGTTTAATGCGTGAAGTCGTTATCAACTTCATGCAGTCGAGATCGACTTCACGCCTTTAATGCGTGAAGTCGTTACCAACTTCATGCAGTCGAGGTCAGGCTGCATGAAGTTGATAAGTACAAACATGCAGTCAATCTGCCAGTAGCCTTAATAATTTGGTTACTTGTACAGTTATTAATACCTATAGCTTTAAAATGTGTTTTATTCTTACCTAGGTAAGAGCGAAGGAGCCACGCTGCTTCTTGTGCGGTTCGAACTTGCCGAAAATGCCGTTTTCTTACGACAACTACAATTTCTGCAGCATCCGCTGTCTGCAGAACCACCGCAATTTGAGACCCATCAACATGACCGTATAAATATAGAAATTACGGAGTTACTACAGAGCTCTGCATGTGAAAAATAAACATCATCTACAAGTTAAATCCTAGAACACCGTCCAATTGGAAGAATTTGAATTTCCCCAATATGAACCATCTACAGAGAGAACTACAACATCTGCTACGTCTTTTGCCTGCAAAACTAACTTTGTGTGGCAACATTTAATACTTTATTTCGTTGTAAGAAGTTTCAGCAAAACCTTTAAAAAACTCAACAAATGGCAAATGTCATACTTGTATAACTTTGTGCGTGCATAATATCATAATTTGAGTTTTATATCGTTGTAATAAAATTTTGTAAGATGCTATAATTCCAAATGCTAATAAGTATTAAAATTTGCAGTCACATTATACCTTTAAGAAATGTGGACCAGTGATTTGCATGTCTTTTTTATAGAAGTAATAACATCAAATGTGTTGGACGGATCCCGTCGTTTGGTCTTCCAGAAATTCATTACACGAAATTATAGAAAAATATTAAATAATTTTTATGGAAATATCTATATATTCTGGTTTGATCTGTAACTATGATTGAACCAATTGACCACGTCTGTACAGTCAGCATCAAAACGATGTTAACGGTCTAGCTGACGAAAATCTATTTTATTTGTGATATCTAGTGGTGGTACGCGATACGCCTGTCCATAACAGTTGTAGAGCTTTCAATAGCAAAGATCTGAGGAGCACCGCCACTATGCCCGTCACCCTAAGACATAACGTCGCCTTACTTTCTCAAACTCGTATCTTAAAGCACAAAATTGCTGAAATGCAAAAATGGATTGTATATACTTTGCAGGCTGATTTGACATTACATTCCCTTCATGTTCACACACTGGGTATTGCCTATTTTTATAGTAATGCATCCAATTAACACCCTTGATAACAAATTTAAAATAAACAGAACATTCTGCCGTCTCCTGAATAATCACTCTTTATAAAATACGAGTTTGAGAAAATAAGGCATCGATAAGTTGATAAGTCCTATGTGCCTGTAATTTTACCAGCATACCTGTCAAAACTGAAACGTATTAATGCACATTTAGCTTAGGGATAGAAATAGGTAAGGTGGCGGTACTTTTTAAACTAAACTAACTTTTTCACAAGGACCTCCATTGCTACTTTCAACATCCAGACTAAATAAATAAATAATAACGCACACACTCAACATAGCCCCGCACTAGGGAAACCCTGTGTCGCGGGTGCCATGGACACACATATAGACAACCACAAATTACACCCAAACTCACGAGAGAAATAAATGTAGGCCATACAAACATTTCTCCCGACCCGGGAATCGAACCTGGGACCTCTGCGTGGCAGTCCGGCATGGTAACCGTTCGGCCACGGAGGCAGTTTTGGGCAGCAGACTTGAACCAAATAAGAAAATTCCATTTCCCATCCCATTGATTATGCCTGAATAGTACCGGGTTTCATCATCCAGCGCCCATAGCTCAAACCCATTGGGCCACCGAAGGAATCCAACCAATTATTTAATTGAGCGACTGCCGTCAGTGGTAGGTCTGAAAAGCCTTTGGTCTACAGGTTGTCATACTCTCACTCTTCGAACAAAATAACTATGTTTAGAGCTGCAATTAGCTCACGACAGCATATCAAGCTACGTATAGACGGATTTTATTGCGTTCCATTGGAGACGTAGACAGTGTATAGCTTAATGTGCTGTTGACTGTACGTGACATATTTCCGTCAAAATTGTAAAATACGTCAATTTTGGTGAAAGGGACGGGGATATTCGCCGATGGTAATACCTAATGCAATATTTGAAATCAACTCTAAATTAACTACCTCATATAAATTAAACAATCTAGTTGCCTTTTGTACAAGATTAATTAGTAATAGTTACCATTTATATGTATCTAGTACGCGTATTGTTACTTTTTGAATTAGAAGTAATGAATAGATCGCTAGCTGATATTTAAAAAGTTACTCAATTAGGACGCCTTCGCAACTGGCGCGGGAATCGCGCGCCTGTAGCGCTTTAGTAATTTTTAGTTCACTAATTGTGTCACGACTGTGGCGATGCAACTGCGCTTTTAGATATTGTATGAAATTAGTGGTGCCACTTGCTACGCTTCTATAAGCGTCTAATTCGAAGGCCTTAATTTTGTGTAGAAATAGAGAGGTAAAAACGATTTTCCATTGTCACAGTACATAGTCATTAGGGCTTTTATCGTGGGAATCTCGGGTCACGAAAATTTCAAGAGTCCAATGCTTTTTTGGCATTTTTTAGACTAAAGACTGGTGTTTTTAGTTTCGGGAATTTCGAGACTTTTGAGACAAAGTTAATGTCACAATGTTTTACTACTACGATATTATTCCATTTTTTTTGTGAAAGTTTTTAATTGGTTGAGCATCTGGCACGGATTGCCTGAGGGTGCTGGTTCGGATCCAGCCGAATGGAATCTTCTTTCTTAGGGTCGTATTCTAGAACTCTACTCAATGCTCAAGTCAGGATTTGAGTATGGTTTAAAGCACTCGAAATC